TCTTTATCATTTTCTAATTCTTAAGAATTAGAAAAAGATAAAAAGTAAGTTAAACCAAGATTAAAGTTAATCTATACACTGGTAAAAACAGACATAAATTGATGTCTTATAAGTTAGCGGAACAAAGTGAGCTGAATCGATTTTAACTAACATTTTTATTTGTTGCTGCTGAAATATGCAAGTTACGAATTTGTTGCTTGCAAAACAAGTCTAAATAACAATAAAAAAGATCCAACGGTCCAATAAAAATTGATATTGTTTTATAATTTTGTTTCTTCTCCATTTTGACAAAATAAAATCGTAATAATTACATTTTCCATTTTCTCTCATTTTCCATTTTCTCCGGAAGTTATAACAGTTATATAAATAAGATGAAACTATTGACATACATATAGTAAGTATCGATAAATATAAGAAAGTGTCATCACTTTGTGAATTTAAGATTGTGAAAATATCTGCATATAAAATAGTAGCTATATTTGCCGAATACATTCTTCAATACTGTTACGAGTTTCTGTGTTAGACTTGGAGATGCAAAATATATAACGCTAATCTCGAAAGCATCGACGGCATTAAATCGTAATGTAACTGAAGTACAATAAAATTAAGACGTAATGCAGAAGAGAAACGAGTTTCCTGCTGCGAGAGTGCAAGATATGCGAAGATGATAACACATATGTGCAAGTAATTCCTCAGATATGCTAAGAAAAATGCGTCGAAACTACATATATTTCAATTGTATCTTAAATGTACATTTTTAATCAAAAACGTTTCATTTTGGGAGTATTTAACTATTTATATACATTTTTTAAATTTTCTCGAAAGGTTATTCTTAAAATTCATGAATCAACAACATAGATGATTTCATCTATCAAATATTCCTATTGCAATATACTTACTTTACCTCATATTCAATTTTTTTGTTAAAAAAATATTTCACAAACGTTTCTAGTAATATTTGAGAATAAAAAAAAGCAATATAAATTCCACGATGTTATTTGAAATTCCTTCGGCAGATCAAATGAATGCTAACATAAAGATTTTTGAAAGTAGAATTCTAATTATGCGTTTGAAGTCAAACAAAGCTTCCCTACTTAATCTCAATCTTTCCCGCGTAACTCAAATTTTTCGCCTTCTTTGATGCACGACGAACGCGCGACTAAATTCTTGTCTGGATCGTTGATCCAGGAGCAATGCCCGTGGATTTTCCAACTGGGACTCATTCCGCCGATAACTCACGGAAAGGAATTCCGCGTCGCGCATAACGCGCGATCGGTTATTTCAGCGTTTCCATCAATTCGACACGGTGTACGAACACTGAAATAAATCCAGAGAGAACATGACGCAGCGTCCGTCGTGCGATCCAGGAAATATCAACTCTCCCGAGACGAATAGCGAGATCGGTAAGAAAGCACAATGGGCAATATAAAACAGAGTGCTCCAGAGCTGTCGGTGTTGCCTTTATGTATGAATTCTTTGGTCAATGTCGTAGATTTCTCCTTAAATACGAATGCTATAACACGCATCAGCACTTATGTACAATAGATTAAAAATTGAAGAGAGTGAAATTGAAGAGTTAAATTTTAGAAACATGAATAGCGAGATCCATTCTTATACATATATGATATATATACGAATAATTTCTTAAAAAACCTGAAATTTGGGTTGCCATTTGACATTTAATGTAAAAAAATTAAAAGATTCACGAAAAAAAATTGTACAATCAAACGTTATTGAGAAAATCACAATTACAAATTGGTTATATTATATATAAGCAAAAACGCCGTCAAAAAAGAGAAAAGTATTTTTCTCTTAAAAGAAAAATACTATTTGGCAGGAAATAATACCGATTACATCAGTTAAGTGTGGATGATTCCTGTCGATATTCATTTTCTTTTTATGAGATACTTATGATGGGTCTTTTACGATTTAGTTTTTGTGTTTGCTATATCCAGGAGTTGTATCCGGCGGAATTGTTTACCGACGTTTTTCCCATGATACACGGTAGATTAACTTGGTCGACGAGGCGCTCGAAAACCATTGCTGAAGCCCGCGGACACGATACTTTTACTTACAAATTGGTATTTTATCGGTGTTAGTAACAAAATGCCTCCCATCGCGACGTCAACGCGCAATCGCGTGAGAAAGCCGCGAATGAAGTTAAAAATCTGATGGCTATAGATGAAAATGATTGCGTTTTTCATGATTTAATGCAAACTATTGAAAATTTCGCAAGAAATCTAGACCTAATTAAGGATGATTATTATAGAGATTTAGATTAGGTGCCCGCGAAATGTATTCATTGAGAACGTGATTACGTTTCTTGGTAATATATGTTATGAAAGTTGCATTGTGGTATTTAAATTAATGTCAAAATAATAGAATGGCAGACAATTGTCTTAGACTTAGATCGTCTAGATTAAGATACATTAATTGTTACAAGTAATCGTGAGTGTGAGTGTGTGTGTGAATTCTTTTAAAACTAAAACAAAAAAAGATGTGAAAATAAAATAATAATTTATTAATAGATTAATATTTATAATAAAAAGTATGTGAAAGCTGTATAATCGCATTTCTTGGAAAAAAAAAAATGATCGCAGTTTTATACGTTAGCGAAAAAAGCAATATCAACAAAATTGAAATACTGCAACACGATATGAATTATCGTGGACATTTGAATATAACTGTGAAAAATATTGTTGTATAATATTACAATTAAGATATCTTGTTACCAATCAATTATACGTGTATGCCGAAAAGTAATTTGATTTTTTTTCTAGTTAATTTTAGCCAGCTAATTGACATCAACATGCGAGTCCGTTTTAGTTCCGTGAATTGTTTTACAAATTCGTCGTTTCACGCTAATATTTCCGCTTAAAATCGTATCGTGTACATTACCTTGTCCGGAGTGATATATAGTAGCCGCATGAAATATACATATCGCTGCACTCTCGGTATCAATATCAATATTTATACATTTGAGTTCTGCGGAACATGATGCTAAATCCAGCGATATGCTATCGGTACAAGGGTCTATATTACATGTATGCATCGTGCATTATTGCGGTTCAACCATTTCCCGTACATTACGTATAGGTATCTTATATCTTTTATAAACGACGCTTTGTTCGCTTATCTATCTGCCGTCGATCGGTAATAGATTACATCAAAATTGCGCTGCGCGAAAAGATCTTAATTTCCTATTACGATGTGTACAGTTCGACACGATGCACATGTTCGATATTTTAGCACTGATATAATAAATTATACGCCGCGCATAATTTTAAGATATAGATATCCAGAGACTTTAATACCTAAGAAGAAAAAGAAGAACACCAAGCAAAAAGCTCATGTCTTATTACCATTTCAAATGATATATAAACTCCGTTGGTTGACATAACCGGAACTAACAGATGTCAAATTACGCAAAGAATGTGCAATGTTTTATAATTAAATGTATGTAGGCATACTAAGATTGGATGATATTTCGAAAACAAGACAATCCTGAGAATGCCAGACGTGTAGGAACGGTGTCGAGAGTTTTTCATGTTAATAGGGCCATACAAAGCACGTGACATAACTTTCATTTTTACGTACAAGAGAGAATAATCTTTAAATATAAAAATATACATGTATGCATAAGTGTGTGCGCGTAAATAAAGAGATACCTATTATAGATTCATATAAAATACAATATAATACAAATACTAGTGTATTACACCGCTGACTTCTAACAATCCCTTTTCGATTATTGCTTATTTTAAATAATCAGGAGTCTTTATTAATTTTATCAACATATAAATATAAAATAACACCAATAAATTTTTCCACGAGATACACGATCTGTTCTCTTATTATCCGCGGTCGAAGAACGTTTCCGTCAGTAGGCCGCATGTAAGCGGAACAGAGCCAGTGTTTCTGGCGCCGAGAGGCGTGAAACCGACGTTTGTCATCACGCCAAAAATATATTACGTGATGGCATGGATTAGAGCCTCTCTCTTTCCTCCTACTTAAGGGGAAAAAATTTCCTCGGGCCACGTGGGAGTTGGACGCGGGCACAATGTGCGTCCGATCTCACGAATGGTTCACGATTCAGATTTTCTCACGCCACGCGAAGCGATCTTGAAAGTAATATTACACTATGCGCTTTTTGATTTAGTAAGGTAGCCGGGTCGCGATTCTATGAATAATGGCGGTGCAGCTGATTAGATTAGACAGACATAACACCGTGCCTAATCGGTAATCAAAATAAATACCCTGATAAGACTTTTTGTATCGACACGATGATTTAAATAGATAACTGGGTTTTTAATGAGCTTCAAGTTATTTACGATTATGACATGATGCGATTTCTTATTTACTATTCTGCTAATCTCTAATGATGTCTTACTCTTAACTTTCTCATTGAAATTAAGGTAAAAAATTTCAAAACTAGAAATTATCATTGGATTACTATTTGCATATATATATATATATATGTATGATAAAGATGTCACAATTGAACGTTCTCATAATTTACTCAAACTTTCATTTCCGATATTTCTTAAAAATGCATGTCTGACTTTTAAATTTCAAGTGAATTATTTATCTTTCAAATTTCATAAGATAAACTTGTTGTAGAATGTTATTTGTGTGGGTATGTTTTTCATTAAACTACTATAAATTTCTTAAATGATATTTTTTTTAAGAGATATGTTAATTATTGGAATTATTTGTTATAAAAATTAATTCGATAAAAAATGAAGAATTATGTAAGAAAGTATAGTGCTTAAATATTTACTAAAATTATAACGTAATTTTTTCTTTCTATTTCAAGACCATCTTAAATAATGTCTTAAGATATTAAAATACTTTCCTTTTTGATTAGTTCGTGACACCTCAAGACCGAATTTAAGATGGTCTTGAATATAAGAACTGACTATGAATACCGGTCTAGGAAACCTATTTTAAACAAAGCATCGCCTAAAAAAACTACATAATCAAGGCACAGATTTACTCACCTTATGATTTCGTGGCGTCCTCGAGAGATTGCTGCGGCCATTAATGAGAATATTGTCGTTGAGAAACGACACATCACAGGGCGACGGTGGACCCCCAGAGATTTCCCACTCAGCATCATCGGTCGTAGATGCATCTAAAGTAGCATCAAGCACTATAATGCCACCATCACCAACCTGTAACAAAAAACAATAATGATAGTAGAACATGATGAGTTTTGAAAAGAACATTATTATATAAAAAAACGTCACATAATTTAAAAAAGGCTCAACATGCACATGTCTCAAATATATTTTATGACATACATATTCTTTACATCTATTTAATTGACATTTAATCTCTATATTTAAATTAAAATTAGCCTAAATACATATGTACAATTTATTAAAAAATTCACTTGCAATTAATATTATCACCATACGCGATTTTAAGTTATTACTCCGACGAAAGAAAATTTGCATACATGAGATACGATACTATAATATTATCTGTAAAATAATTTTTTCTTGTTCGTTTAATTCTCAATTTAACGAGAGTTTAATGAAATGATAAATGCCTCGTTATTTTGATTTTTTCGATGCCACTATAAATAGAATTTTTGATGTTTGAAATTGACGTTTTCATCATGGGTCACATGTACAAATTTCTCTCTCTCTCTCTCTCTCTCTCTCTCCCGTTTACAAATGCAAAATCCTAAGATTTCAGTAGAGTAGGACGTGCGTTCACGTTGGACTCGAACGCAAATAAGCGCATATGCAAATACGCAATCCTCTATGACTCGAGAAACTCCCGCGGCGATTCAGCAGGAAAGTCGTTCCCGCATGAAAATATGCAGGATTTGAAAAAACGCACCTTTTCCTAACCCACATTTAAACGTATACGAGATTAACAGTAACTAATTTATAGTTCGCGTGTATTTATCAAACAGCTTCGTCAAGCTTTCGCTCATGGAAATTAAACGGTGATATCCGTTATTATAGATTTTATTTCACTTTTTGGAAAATTATTATTTACAATTTTATATAAAAGTTTTATATAAAAGTCGACATTATTCATTATTTCGTGCCTAAGTCGAATGTGTTCTATATTAACAATTTCTCTGCAAAATCAAAATAATGTAACCACTAATCTTTTCTTTTGAAAAATGTATCTTTGATAAATATATAGCTAGATTTCTTTTAAGTCAATATGAGATAGAAGAAAAAATCTCTGTACGAGATAATTTTAGACGAACAAATTTATTTGATTAGACAATGAATCGGTCATGATATCATACGTACAAAAAGATATTTGCAATTTTTTTTTAAGCTTACTTATAGCAAGTTAAATAATGTAAATAAATTTATGTATAGATAAGTATACTGAGAATACTTTTCCTTCGCTTCTTAAAAGCGAAGACAGTGAAGGAAAACGTCTGAACATACGATATGCATTTCCCCTGCACACACATTTTACAACTCGTTTGCCAACGGAGGATAAAATGTGTTATCACAGTCCGAAAAAAAATTATTCGAAAAAATATGTATATTTTCGTTGCGTGTACAAATTACAGTCCGCGACTCTCGTGACGTTTTCTCCGTGTACAATTGCAAATTATCCCCAAAGTGATCTTGTGAGAGAGGAGAGGGAGGAGGGGGGGGGGGACCTGTCCTGCAGCGTTATTTTCCTCCTTTTGTTAACAATGGAGATGTTAACTGCAGACGATTCGATCGTGCTTTCGAACGTGCCGTGACGACCGCGACGGTTACATTCACGCGAGACGTCAGTCGGTCATTACGATTACCGCCTTTCATGACTCTCGTGAATGGAACATCCTGCCGAGTCGAAGAAAAGAGGGAAACGTGAGTGATACAAGGTAATATGGATAAACACCCGGTTCGCATCGAGCTGTCCTTCGAGGGAGGGCTGCTTCTCTTCGGTCGAGTGAATTCCTTCGCGAAACAGGATATGCGAAAGAAACACCATAACTCTGTCGCGGACTTTAGAATTATCTGACATCTGTCGTTCGCGGACATGTGTTTCGTTCCTTCGAGAAACGTCACGTTTATTCTCGTTTACGCGAAGTGTTGTTTTCAAAATACTAAAATTGTAAAATAGTACTGTTAAATTGTAGAGATAATTAAAAGAACACAAGTATATTTAATAAAAAGTATATTATTAGAGAACATCATTAAAATCTTCTAGAAAATATACTTTTTAAATGCAGAGATATTCGATTTTTAAATAAAATATTATTTGTGGGTAATCGTTTTCGGGATAGTATGTCAACTCTCTAAATTCTTTGGAATGAAATCTGATTCTAAAGAGTGAAAATTGAGCGAGTCTCGAAAAAGAGTAGCTTAATTTATATTTTAATCTTTAAGAGTAAGATTTCACTCTTTAGAATGAGATTTATTCTATAAATTTTACAGAGAAAATATCATGTCTGCATTATGTTGTTATGTACTATATATTACGTTAACATTAATAGGTATAATATTAAAATATTTTTACATTATAAATATCTTAATCACTTTCAGTATTTTATTTTATGTGTTTTTTTGTGAACAATATATAACAATATTCTTCCGCGAAACTTTCGGTAAATTCCACGTTCACACGGCGGAGATCCGCGTGTGAAATCGAATGGCCTTACATCGGCAGGACGGTCGATTTCCGGTCTACTTCCGGCGATTGCCGCAGAAGGATCGCGCGGCAATTTTCGAAAGTGATTTTTTTTGTGGTAATCTGCCTTTCCTTCGTGTCGCACGACAATTTGGGTTGAACGTTCGTTAATCCAGAGAAAAATGCGGTCACGGATCATAAGTCCGCATTACGGACGAGCAACGATCGAGGCCGAGCAACATAATATCTGTATTTGAATATAAAACATGGCGTGCCGATGCTATATGTCGGTGAAACGAGATAAGCGAACAAATATGTAGCGATTCCGCGTCGGAAGTCTGTTATTTCCTTACCTGATACGTACTTTGACAAAATCTCTAATTTGCGGAAGTTCTAAATAATATTCACATAAAATGTCTGAGAAGTCACTTTCTCTGGAATACAGAAATCTCCGATCAAATGACAGATTTTGATCAAGAAGACATCGAAAAATTTTTAATATAAAAAAATTTTTAATTGTGTATAATTTACTAAATTCATGTGAGTAGATAACACAATTTTATCCAAAGCTGTCAATTGGATTTTAAAGAATTCTGTTTTATTTTGGTTATCCGTATATTTCATTGATCATCTCTAAGAGACTAATTGTAAGAATAATTTGATGAACTTTCGAATGCTCATCAAAGGATATATCGAGAGAAAGTACACAACACTTCAGATGAGATATCTTTTTATTCTGTTTGATACTTACAGTTCATCTTATTAAGTCACTATTGATAAATTTGCAATATTGAATTGCATAGTAAATTAAATAAGAATTTTTGATAAATTCTCTTTTGATAAAAAAAAAAAAATAAGGCATGGAAGAATCACGAATGCAAATTAATGGACAGAAATGATATATTAAATGTAGAATTTACGAAAATAAAATTACATGTTTCGGCTAAATTTTAAACCATATACTCAGATCGTAACAGCAGAAGACCGCGCTACAAAAACCGTCTTATTTTTCTTTGGAATCCAGTCTTTTGCTGTTTCTGCGATCCGAAGATGACTCAAAATTGAGCCGAAACATGTAATTTCAATTTCGTAAACTCTCTATATTATTTAATATGTAGGTTAGGGACAAACGTATAATATAACCAGATAAAGGGAGAATAATTTCTTGTACAAAAATAAGTCGAAAATACAGAATTTTTTCGTTAGAGGCCTTATTTCCAAGAAAATTAAGTTTAAATAATTAAATAAAGAAAAATTGCTATAGAAATGTTGTCTTTGCTGCCACAAGCAAATTCATGAACTTTGACTAATGTCTTCCAATCTTTTACTTCGTCAAAAATAATTTTTTGTTTTTACATCTTTTCGATCAATCCTAAATTTATCAAAAACAAGGCTTCAGAAGACAAAAGCTTATTCACTTTCGATTTATTTTCGTACAAGGAATTACTTTCCATCCGGTCGTATTATAAATTCCTATGTTATTTCTTCATCATTAATTTCCATGCTTGATTCTTTTACACGACCTTTTTATTTTGCTATTTATAGTAAATTAAATTATTAATAATTATATATACATATACAGGGTGAATTTTTTAACCTGAAACTTTCAAATATCTCGAAAACTAAATCCAGTAGACAAAAATGTTTCAAAGAAAAATGGAACTGTGTCGAGGAGGACACGTTTTAATCACGTTGTTTTTTTCCTAAGTGGAGGCGCTAAAAAGATATGAAGGTCACCTCCACTTTTTTAAATGGAATTATGTAATTTTTTTTAGATAACGTAATTCCTCTAATTATTTTGCATATAAAAATATTAAGGTAGAGATACCAAAAAACCAATAGTTTTCGAGATATTTTACACTTTATTTTGGTACATATTGACACAAAATGTTAAATAACTCGTAAACTGTTGACTTTTTGATTATCGTACCTTAATACTTTTGTGAACAGAATAATGAGATAAATCAAATGGTGTAAAGAAAACACATAGTTGCTTTAAAAAAAATATGTATACAAAATGGATAATTTTTTAAATACGCATAATTCCATTTAAAAAAGTGGGGGTGACCTTCGTATCTTTTTAGCGCCTCCACTTAGGAAAAAAACAACGTGACTAAAACGTGTCCCCCTCGACACCGTTCCATTTTTATTTGAAACATTTTTGTCTACTGGATTTAGTTTTCGAGATATTCGAAAGTTTCAGGTTAAAGTTCACCCTGTATATGTATATAATTAATAATTATATATATTAACACATATATTATATCTGTTGTACTCATTCAGTAATTGTGCGACTTGAATACAAGGAAAAAGATTCATTGACTGAAGCGTAAACTTTCTATCTGCACGTAGAATCAGTAGATTTTAGATTAGTAATTGTTCGTGATTGATTGCAAGGCAAGAAAAATGCAACGTGCTATATTTCCGCCAGACTGCTAACTGCAGATTAATGCGTCGGATTCATTACGCACGTAATTCCTGCGGATAAAGTATCGTGCGAAAAACTGCGAACTCAATGTCTAGCGTATAATCTCGTATTATCAAGCAAATGAGCGGATTAAATCTGACAAGT